ATGAGGATAAGGTTAATACCTATCTCAAAGAGTTTTTGTGAGAGTCAAAATATAATGCATAATTTTAATAGTAATATAATTAATATATGATATATTAATATATAATACATGTTTAATTGATAATAACAAAATTAAGATAATGTTAAACATTTTGCAAACCTTGAAGCACTATGTAAACACGAACTATTAGTTTTATTATATTCAGTTAAGGACTGTCTTCCATATATTCCAGCTGTGCCCTGTGCCTTCTTCTCTTCTTCTATTGTTTCATTTGGTGGTCTCATCAGCTCTTGTGGATTTAATTATCATCTCTGTGTTGATGATTCTCAAATCTACTTGTGCAGCTCTAACCTCTCTGCTGACCACCAGTCTCACATCTTGAACTCTCATCCTGAATTGGATGTCCTGTAGACATCTTAAACTTAACATGTCCAAAACTGAACTCATTATCTTTCCCACTCAAATAGTCCCCTCTTCCAAACTTCCCTATTACAGCTATCCCTTCTACATCACGAAGGTTGGGGCACAGTGCCCCCATGATCTAGAAAATCTGTATAAAATTTTTTGGCTCTCTCTTCATACCAGATAAGAAGTCTGAATTTGTTCTTTTTCTTTTATTGGGTGCTTACCGTACCTTACTATAAAATTTGGGTTGATATTATACAATACTATGCATATAAATATATGCATAAATATTTATGCATTCTAGAGTTTCTAAACTTTTTATGTGTCATCTGCTGGCCTTTGTGTGTCACCTGTGGCTTCTGCAAAACTCCCCCAAAATTCCCATTTAATTTCTTATGCTGACCCGTGATATGTTGAAACCATGACGGGCAAAGTTGTGATGTGGCAGGGATAACTGTACTGCCAAAGATACCACTGTTCTCCCAAGTTCAAAACCAAGGTTTCATCCTCGACTCCTTACTGCCTCACCCCACCATATCCAATCTATTGTCATGACCTGTTGATTTTACCTTAGTAACATCTCTTGAATAGGCCCCCCTTCTCTTTTCTGACACTGCCAACACCCTGGTGCAGACTTTAACTTAATCATGCTTGGACTATTGCAATAGTCTGTTGGTAGTCTGCCTATCCCAATCTCTTCCCGTTTCAATCCATCCCCCACTCAGATGTAAAAATGATCTTCCTTAAAGTGCAGGTCTGGCCATGCACCCCCTTACTCAATAAACTCCAGTGACTCCCTCTCAGGATCCAGTATAAAATCATGTTTGGCATTCAAAGACCTTCACAATCTGTCCTACCCCCTACCTTTACAGTCTTCTGTTTATACTTAATTCCCGCCTCTGACATACTCTTCAATTCAGTGACACTGGCCTTGTTCTTCCTTCAACGAGACACCGTCTTAGGGCATTTTCATAGACTGTCTGTCCCTCAAGCATAGAATGATCTCCTTCCTCATCTCTGTCTCCTAGTTTCACTGGCTTCCTTCAAATCACAGCTAAAATCCCACCTTTTACAGGAAGCCTTTCTTGATCTTTTTTTAATTCTGGTGCCTTCCCTCTTAATTATTTCCAATTTATCCCGTATACAGCTTATTTGTTTGCATATTGTCTTCCCCCATTAGATTGTAAGCTCCTTGAGGGCAGGTGTTGTTTTTTACCTTTCTTTGTATCCCCAACATTTAGCACAGTGCCTAGCACATAATAGGTGCTTAATAAATGTTTCTTGATTGACTGACCCATAAGACTCACTACTCTCCAAGAGCAGGGAGTGTCTTTCCTATCACGTCAAAGCCTTTCTGTAAAATGGGGTTGGAATAAGTTACTTCTAAGGTTCCTTCCAGCTCTAACTTCCTATGACTCCAAGTCCTCTGAGACCAGGGAGCACATTTCTTTTGGAACCAGCACAGTTCTGTTGCCTAATATTCTGAGCTGGGATGATGTATGGAAGCCTGCTTGGTTTATGGACCCTGCTGATTAGGAAAGTGTGGAACCCTGCCCTATGTAATGGCCAATGTGTCTCCCTATGTTATGGTTCCCCTGTCCCATACTCTGATTACTCTGTTCTGCAACTCAAATTGTCCCTATTTGGGAGAAGTTTCTTTGGAGAAGTCCTAGGATCATAGATCCAGATTATAAATCTGGAGCTGGAGGGGACTTCAAAGGTCAGCTAATCCAACCTCTTCTCTTCGTTAATTTTATAGTTGAGGAAATGGAGACATGAGAATAAATAACTTGTCTACGGTACTAAGTGTCAAAGGTAGGATTTGAACTCAGGTCTTTTGACAAGTATTACAAATGGCTACTCCTTGTCTTTTTCTCCTCCCTCTCCTCCCTACCTCCATCTCCAGCCTAAGGCCAAACTTCTTCTATGAAAAGTAGATGGGGTGCTCTGGGGGATGGAGTAGAGTAGCTTAGTCACCATGCGGGCCACAATGACTTTGGATCATGGGGCTGAGGGAATCTAGAGAAATAGTTTTTCTCCCTTCCCTTCTAGAGAATGATCTTATGCCCAGAAAAACCCAGAGTAGAGGAAGAGTGAAAATGACTTAGGGTAAAGCCCTGGAGAATCTAGGTACATGTGGGGTGTGTGTGGCTGTATTCTACATAAGAACTATGGGTACTTGTCTGGGCTTCTTAATCAATGAGGCTTTCGATCAAGTTCCATACTCTTTTGGCAACTGTCCAGTCCTGGTAGAAATGACGGATGTTGTTCTGCAGGATGTTAATCACATCCTTGTTCTGGACTGTCTTTTCCTCGAAGGACTTGTCTTGTAGAACTCGGCCTTTTTCTGTGGGTAAATCAGAGGCAGCATGGATGGGCACAGGAGTCAAGACATGAGGAGGTAGTTAGAAACTACTTCCAGTGGCACCCTGCTCCAAGGCTGACTCTGTGGGAGATCTCATCTGGCCAATCCCAGTGAGGGTCTCTGAGATTAAAGTCCTGAGGGACACCTCCTAACCTGTCTTCCTACCTCACCCTTATTACCCACATGGACCAATGGAGTACCTGAGGGGGGAATGACTTCGTAGAGTTGCTCCCAAATCAGTAAATAAGGTGTTAGATTATATTGCTTCCTGCTCCTCTTAGCCATGTTCTCTCTTCCCAGAATATAGGGATTTGTTCAAAGCAAACAACATTCCTTCCTAGGAGAGTCTTACAGATCCCAACCTGGTAGGAATGGTTCTAGTTGGGAGGGAATGTAAAGGATGTGGGGAGAGGGAGAGACTGGAAGTACACTCTCTAGAGTTCCACGGCTCATGCCAGGGAAACTGGCATGCTGGTTTCATCTTTTGCCCCCTCCTCTACTACTATACCTTTCCCATGATTGCTATTTGGTTGCCTAAATCTCATATTCTGGGGCCTAATTTAAGTCTTAGGACCTCCCTGGACCGTCTGAATTCCCAGGGCACATATCAGTGCCATATTTCAAACTGTGTTATTGACTTGTTTGGCATTGTTTTCTACTGATCTGTGTTAGCCTTTTTGGAGTCTGAGCCCCATAAGGATAAGGACCGGATTCTGTCTTCTACTTGTATACCCACAGAGTGCCGAGCACAAGTCTGGGCATGCAGAAGATACTTTAGACTTGCTGATTGTCTGTTCCCAAGAGCCCTCCACCCATTAGGGTGGAAGAGTTGCCAGGGGGCAAGACTGAATGAATGGGTATAAAGCTTACCCTGGAACTTGATGATGGTCTTTAGCTCCTGGATCTTATCCTTCAGGTTACTTAGATCCTGGACCCTCATGGTGATGCTTCTGCGTTCCTCTCGAGTCTTCTTTCCTTCCCCAAAGGGGGAAGCTCTCAAAGCTCTGGTGTTACCTGCCCACCTCCCTCTTCTCTGCTCGATGGGCTAAGTAGTGTCTCTGATCCGATTGTCTCATTAATTGTGAGCTCGATGCAGCTTTCTGTGACATAGTCTAGGATTCTCAATTCTCAGAACCCTGGAGTCCTAGACTTGCAATTACTCAACTAGCCATTTTCTAAGAGTGGCCTAATAGGCCCCTTAGGCATTTATTCTTGGACCAAGTAAAATGAATCTTATGGTCATTAACTAATTATAACATCCCCATATTGGAGTAAGGAGGGAAAATTACCTATTTATTTGATATAGCTGAAAGAACATTGGATTTGGAAACAAAGGATCTAGGTTCAAATCCCTCTTCTTCTTACTAGTCTGACCAAAGATGAACTTTTTTACCTCTCTAAGTCTCAATTTCTTCATCTGCAGAATGATTCTCTCCAGGGTTCCTTTCAGAGACAAATTTTATTATTTATTCAGGTTAACTGAGCATTTTACTGATATGGATCTGAATGATGGCCCATAGCCTGGACCTGGACACAGGATTCACTGAAGACAAATATTTTTGAATTTGCTAATATCAGGGTGTGTGTGTGTGTGTGTGTGTGTGTGTGTGTGTGTGTGTGTGTGTGTGTGCTATTCCTAGCTTTTTTCTTTCCTCCTTAGGGTGCAACATCTCAGGCCATGGCATTTTGTTTGCATCTTAGTTTTGTATTTACCATGCTCTATTTTGTTACCCGTGCATGTATTTTATCTCCCTATTTAACGGGAAGTTGTATGAGGGCAGGGACTAGGTCTTACTAAGTTTTGTATATCTCTCAACACTAAACACAGTCCTTAGCCTATATTAATTCTTTTAATGAGTATATGTAAAAATGCTAGATTTTTGTTCCATGATGGCCCCTTCTCATCTTCCCCCATTTATATCCTCCTCTAGGGGAACAACCTTCGAAAGTTGAGAAGCCCCCATTGACACATAGGCCCACTTTAAGCTCTTTTCAACTCTGGCTTTTTGATACTCCTTGGAGGGGCAAAAGTTGGGAGACCTTAGAAGTGGTTGATGAATGAAGAGATAATCTCTAGCGATTCCTGTTTCTCACTCCCCAAAACTAATTCTCTGCCACAGATACTGTCTTTCCCTTCAAAACAGTTTACCTTTCCCACTACCCACACCAGCCCTAGTCACCCTTCATCTCTAGCCCTTCTGGTTAGGGAGCACAAAGGCAGCAGACTGCACAGGATGTTAGAGCATTCTTTATATGTATATATGGATTGGAGAGTGGAATGCTTGTACACAGCTGGGAGAGCTATGGTGGTGTAGACAAAATCACAGAGGACCTTTACTCCAGAACATCCCCATACTGATTTTTCTTCTGTTCTGGATCTGAACACCCTTGAGAGGTCTGCTCTGTAAGAAATGAAAGAAACACTGTGTCTACTTGGGATTTTGTGCTGATTTCACAGAGGGAGGAATGAAGGCCTGCTATTAGATTATGCTGCTGAGGAAGAGGCTAGGAAATGGAACCCAAGGGAGAGAAGGGAATTGTTTGACTCCCTGATATCATCTTCCCAAAACATTATTATAAAGTCTCTGGCTTTAAACTTGTATTAAGTAAGTAGGGTCTGCAATGATCCAGCCTTTGGTTTGCAGTCTGTACCCAGTTCCTCAAAACTTTCCCCAAGCACACACCATTTTCCCAGAAGCTCATTAATCTCAGAGCCTTCTGCCTGCTCTACACTAAGGTACAGCCATTCCTTCCCAGTCCTTTTCCCCTTACCCCCACCTCAAGCCAGTACAGAGGGGAGAAGACAGATTTATTTGATTGGCCTTTAGGTACGGACCCTCCCCCCCCCTTTCCCCTTTTATCTCTGGATAGCATATGCCACAACATTTCTCTAATTGATTCACATTCCTTCCTACCCATAGCTTAGGGAGTTCCCTGGCAGAAAGTTAAGGTAGTCTGCCCACCTGCCTGGCCTTTGGGCTCCTCTCACCTGGCGCATGGTCCTGGGGTAGCTGTCCAGTCTCCAAGAAGAGCCAGAGATCTGAGCATTTCTGTGTTTCCACACGGGTCACTGCATAGCTGCTGACTGAGCCAGCAACTAAGAAAGCAGGATGGACTCCAGGAGTGAAAGGGTGGGAATGGGGGAGGGACAGACTCTAACCTGGGGCTTCTTTAGCCTCCCCCAGATCTTTGGGAAAAGAGAGCCAGGACTGGGGTCTGGTAGCAAGAAATAATTTCCACCCAGCAGAGGTAGATAGAGCGATTTGGGGGCAGGGCTACCACCGGGACATCCAGTGGGATCTCAAGTAATTGAGGGCTCCTAGGTTGCCTTAACTCCTCCTCCAACTCTTTCATTTCTTTAAGGGGGACTGATTGAATGGAAGGCAAAAATCAAAGTACTGGGATAGGTCAGGGTCATGGGGTAGTTGGCAAGTTAAGACTCAGCAATCTCTCCCAATCTGTAGACGCCCACCTTGTACTTCCCCCCAACCCATCCTCTCCCACAATCTTCCGGTACCCACCCATAGCCAGTAGCACAGTCCACTGCATGGGATAGGGCAGCTTCCTCTGGAGGACCTTCTGTAGGAAGAAGGCTGCACCGGTGCCTGCCAATGGCCAAGTCCCTGATTAGCCTGACTCCACTCTTGTCCAGTGTGCCCTGGCCAAGGAGGGGAGCACCTTAGAGTATAAGTGGGGTTAGGTACTGATGTCCAGGGCAATCCCGCCCCCTTCCCAGCGTATGAGCCAACTCGCCCGCCTACCTGTAATGAACGTGATGATGCCTTTCATGAAGGCTTGGGATTGGCACGCAGCGTACTCCCGGAGCCCCTGGGATGAGCACAGGTTTGGGTGCCAGTCCCTCAGAAGAACCTCTCAAAGGGCAGCAGACCCTCCCACCAAAGAGGGACCACCCCCCCAAAACCAGGAGACAAATGCTGCGTCCCCCTAACCCACCCCGTGCATGCGCTTCTCCTCCAGTTCCTGCCCTCCGGGCTCTTGGGGGAATCGACCCTCCATTCCCAGGGCTAGGCCCTCGGTACTCACCGGGTGTCTGGCGGCCACCGCATCATCCACTCGGGATAGGCCTAGGGTAACCATTGCTGGGCGAGAAGTAGGGAGGCTGAGAGTGGGCGGGGCGGAGGGGACTGGGCGGGGCGGAGAGGGAGTGGGCGGGGCTGAGGTAGAAGTCCAAGCCCAGACGCCTTGCCCTTCTCCTGTGGCTTTTCCTGTTGGGTTGGGAGCGCAGATCTGCTCGCGCAAGCGCAGCTTTCCCTGTGGGCTTGGAGAGAGTGAGTGAAAGTTAGAGTGAAAGAGTGGGCGTGCTTTCCGTCTGTGACAGTGCGTGAGAGTGAGACTGGTTTCTCTGTGTGGTTGTCGTATTTAATACGCCCTAGGGTTTAAAGTTTGAAGGGACTTTGTTTTTTAATTATTTTTTTTTCAATTATCAGGCACTTTTTTTTCCCTTCCGCATTCCCCTTCTCACTAAAAAAACAAAAACCAAAACCTTTGTGACAAATAGGGCTAGTCAAGCAAAACAAATCTCCAAGTTGGCTATGTCCTAAATGTATGCTCATTTAGTCCATGCCTCTGTTAGGAGGTGGGTAGCACTCTTCATCCATGGCCCTCTGGGATCCTGGCTGATCAGAGTTCTTGCGTCTTTCAAAACTGGTTTTTGTTGTTGTTGTTGTTGTTGTAGTAGTAGCATGAACTGGCTGTCCTTTAGGCTCTCTCTACTCTGCATCAGTTGGCTGATGGTTGAAACCATAGCTTTCATCGTTTCTTACAGCACAGTAGTATTCTATTACATTCATTAATTTGTTCAGCCATTTGACAAAGAATTGGAAATTGAGGGGATGCCTAACAATTGGGGAATAGCTAAACAAGTTGTGGTATATGATTGTGATGAAATACTATTGTGCTTTAAGAAATGACCAGCAGGATGGTTTCAGAAAAACATGGGAAGACATACAGGAACTGATGCAAAGTGAAGTGAGCAGAACCAGGAGAACAATGTACACCGTAACAGCAATATTGTGATTGTAAAAGACTCAGCTACTCTGAGGAAGATAAAGCTCCAAGACAATTCCAAAGGATCCATGATGAAAAATGTTATCCACTTCTGGACAGAGAACTGATGAATCCTGAGTGCAGACCATTTTAGAAAGTTTTAAAACTTTCTTTTTCTGTTTTGCATGCTTTCTTTTGCAACATGGCTAATATGGAAATATGTTTTGGATAACTCCACATCTATAATTGATTTCATAATGCTTGTCTTCTCAAGGGGTAAAGGAGGGGCAGGCAGAAGGGAAGGAGAAAATTTGGAACTCAAAATTTAGAAAAAAGAATGTTAAAATTTTTTTTATATGTAATTGGGAAATATTTAGTGAAATAAATATATATTCAAAAAATTTGTTCAGCCATAATCCATTTCCTAAATACTCGTTTAGTTTTCAGTTCTTTGCCACTAGAAAAAGAGCTTCTATAAATGTTTTTGTATATATAGGACCTTTTCCTCTTTCTTCAATAAAACTCTGGGTATAGGCCTAATAGTGGTATCATTGGTTTAAAGGATATACATGGGTTAGTAGTTCTGGGAGCATAGTTCTAAACTGATTTCCAGAATGGCTGGACCGATTCTTGGTTCTACCAACAGTGTACATGTGCTTCTCCTCCCACTCCCCACCCCCACTCATTTGTCATTTTCTATTTCTGCCAGCTTTGCCGATTTGATGGGTGTCAAGTGGAATGTCAGATTTGCTTGATTTGCATTTTTATAATTATTAGTGATTAGGAACTTTTTTTTCTCATATGGCTATAGATATAGCTTGGATATCTTCTTGTGGGAGGTGCCTGTTCATATCAGTTGAATAATGGTACTAATGATAAATTTGACTCAGTTCCTTATATATCTTGGAAATGATATCTTTATCAGAGAAATCTGCAGATTTCCTCCCCTCCTCGTTTAACTCTCTCCTTTCTAATCTTAGTTGCATTAGGTTTGTTTCTACCAAAACTTTTTAATTTTGTATAATCAAAATTGCCCATCTTATCTTCTGTGATCCTCTCTGTCCCTTGTTTGTGTAAGAGAGACAAATGTGGCTACCGATGGCAATAGAGGGACAGTGGAGCAAGCACTAACTTTGGCTGCAAGGGTTCAAATTCTATCTCTGATACTTAGCTGTGTGACCTTGGGCACAACACTTAACGTCTTCAAGCCTCCAATGAGGTTGGACTAGATGGCTTTTAAGGTTCCTTTCTAGCTCTTAATCTCTAAACCTAGACTGTTAAGTTTCTTGAGGACAAGAACCACTTGTTATCTAGACTTTATGTGCTCCATGATCTGCACAAAGTAGCCATTTAATAAATATTCATTGAATTGAATGCAATAGACATTGGGAAAGAAGAATATATAGGATGTGGCAAAAAGCTGAATGGGAATTAGGTGTGTATCAAAGGAATTGAAGGGAATAGAGAAATCGAAGATAACCCTAGCCTGGGAGAAACAGAGGTAAGAGAGCCAGGAATAGGAAGGTGGTAAGGTGGAGGGTGATGGGTTTTAGACATCTTGAGAATAAAGTGCTACATGGGAATATACAGGTTGAGATATGTTCTACAGGCAGTTGGAAAGTGGGGACTGTGATTGTGGTGAGTAATGGTGAATGGAATCCACTCTATCCTGTCACATAGTCTGGAGCCTTCAACTTTACTTGGGAACTTCAGGAAAGCACTTAAGGTTTTAGAGCAAAATAATTATTCTGGCAGCTTGTATGAAGGGTGGATTGGGAGAGGGGGTGAGGAAGAAAGAGTATGAATGTGGGAAGAAGGAGGAGGGATTGTCTTGTCCTGTGATACCAACAGCATTTTCTCACAGGTGAGAGTTAATAATAATAATAATGGGCTGGAGGCAGAAGGAAGGCAGGATCGTTGTTGCTCAGACAGAGAGAATTAATGACCAAGCATTTATTAAGCTGCTACCATGTGTGAGGCACTGTGCTAAGTGCTAGAAACAAAAATGTAAAGAATGAAACAATCCTTACTTCTAATTGTGGGGAAGAGGAAGGAAATAAGCATCTCTATAATGCATACTACATGGCAGGCATTATACTAAACACTTTTTTTTTTTACAAATATCTCATTTGATTCTCCTTGTGAGATAGGTACTGTTATCCCCATTTTACAATTGAGGCAAACAGGTTAAGTGACTTGATCAGGGTCACACAGTAAGTGTGATGATTAAAAAGATTTGAGAGGCATAATTTCTGGGTAATTTAATTATTTTATTAATAAGGCCAACATGTTATTAATAAAAGGATGGTTATTCAGACATTTCTCTTAGACCAAAAACAATCATGGCTGCATGCTCAGGGCTTATATGTTCTATTGGCAGAGGAGTGGCCACTTTGATTGGTTAACACAATAGGAGGTGGGCTATATTAAAATGAGGGGCTGAGTGACTTGTTATCCTTGGACAGAGAAATTATCTCTGTAACCAGACCATCCCCAGTTTCCGGCTATCTATTCGAAGAATACATGCCCCACACACGCCTGAGCAGCAGACAATAGGGGCTCCAGGGTAGGTCTCATCTCATTATCCTTCAAGACTATGAACTTTTTAAAATCAGGAATTTAAAAGGAGAGAGCTCTCTACCTTCCCAAATTATTGATTATTAATAATTTCTCTCACAAGTAAGTGTTTGAGGCTGGATTTGAACTCAGGTCTTCTTGACACCAGGCCCAGATCTCTGTCCATTGCCCTACCATCTACTTCTAAGGACACAAGGGGAATTTACATTCTAAGGGTGGTGGTGGAGGGGGAATTGAGATGAGAGTGTAGTGGTTTTATCCTTCTTTCCCAAGAGGACCATGATGTCAGGGAGATGATGACATGACTTGCAATTGACTTTGATCTGAGTGAGGGAGGGCTGTGCAAGGTCACCAGCCTCACTTTCTCCTCCAGAGCCATCTGGGTCCAGTGGCCAGATATAGATCAGGAAGACTGGAGATGGCCCTGGATGCAGTGGGAGACCTTGGCCCTTTTAAGCTAAGGTCTTTTCAAGTTCTTGCTCCGAGTGAGGCAATGCCCATTCAGTGAATAGGCTTCTTTAAGAAGTGAGTCAAGGAGGGCAGCTAGGTGGCGCAGTGAATAGAACTCAGGTCTTGGAGTCAGGAGGATCTGAGTTCAAATCCTGCCTTAGATACTTGACACTTACTAGCTGTGTGACCCTGGGCAAGTCACTTAACCCTGAGTGCCTCACAAAAAAAGAAAAAAAGAGGATGGCACCTTTAATAAAATAAATAAATAAATCGAACTGGGAGGGGAAGAATATTGTAGGGGCACAAAGATGATAAAAATCTAACAGGACTGGGGGTCCAGGAGAAGGAAAATAGGAGAAGAGACCCCAATGAGTAAATAACAAATAGAAGGTAATTTGGGGGAGGGGGGTGGAAGGATCAGGAAGGTACTCAAGAAGAAGGTGGCAACTGGGATGAGCTCTGAGCTAAGGTATGGATTCACTGAAGGAGAAAGAATGAGGAAGTGAATTCCAGGCATGGAGAACAACACGGGATAGGATATAAGCCTCTCAGGGGCCTTGAAGGCTGGAATCAGAATCAAGGCAAATTTTGGAGAGTAATCTTCAATTTTCCTGCATTTCTATTTACATTCTCTCTGAACTAGGAGGGCACCTAGTGGTGCTTGGGTAGGGGCCTATTGTTGTCTAATGCATAAGACCCAGAGGGACTTGGGTTTAAGCCTTGGTCTTTGAGAAAGAAATCTAGCCAGTAAACCACAAGTAAATTAGGTAGCTTTCAGCCCATCAAAATTTACCTTCCTTTGGGGGGCTGAACACCCTCAGGTAAGTGGGGGTGGGTGGGAAGGGTGGATGAGGGAGGGAAGGGAAGGAAGGGGGGGGAAGGAAGGAGAGGAGAGGAGAGAAGATCAGCTGAGTTGCCCATCTTGAACTGGCCAGCTAGGTCCCCATTCAGGCAGCTCAGACTACTCATAGGTTGTGGTTTGTCCTTTGTTCTTGAAGAGGACCATAACATCAGGGAGATGATGATGTGACTTGCAATTGACTTTGATTTGAGAGAGGACTGTGCAAAGTCACCAGCCTCACTTTCTCCTCCAGAGCCTTTCTTGGGGTGAGATTGTAGCTGAAAGAAGAAAGGGAGGCTGGTGGGGGGGCGGTGATTAGGAAGAAAGCCAAAAAACAAAAAAAGCACAGGT